GAACCTGCTACTAGCCGGCTGGATCAGGTTCTTTTTTTTTTTTTTTTTTTTTTTTTTTYSTTGAMAAKTTTTGACSCCCCCCCCCCCTAAAAGGTATKTCATTGCCCCCCCCCCCCTTCTCCGATTGGCATTGAGCACAGACCGCTATTGTTCATAGATGGAGGGGGCCGAAAAGGAGGCATAGTGACTGGCCCATCAAAGAAGCTCGGCCCAGATGCTACTCGCTGACCCCTGCCTGGTATTGTATAAACCTCTCACTGCAGATCATAGTTGGCGGACAACGCACCCGCGGCAATTCCCGCGGCTTAGGTTTCTTCCGCTTTGCGGGTTAACCACCCACCGGCTTTACATACACGTTGAACTCCTCGGTCCTCGTTTCAAAGCACTCAAAACAGAAAGAGAAAAGAAAATTTTGCCAGCATCCCAGACACGTGGAATCCGAACGGACCCGTCGAAAGAGGTGCGTGCTCAAAGTCCTCGACTGCCGTGACGACACTTGTGGCTGGCAATCTAGTAGCTGAGCCAGGCCTGTTGGTCTCGGCGTCGGCCTCGAAACCGATCACCGAGCTAAAGCCCTTAGAAAACAAATAAACAAATAAAATAAAATAAATAACAAAAAATAAGATTAAAACGTCCAGCCTTCTGCTGACCCATGACACTGCGAGCACTCATACCGCGCATATCCGTGCCGCGCACGGTTGCACCTTGCCGCCGATACCCCGCGCGCGCCGCTCACCCTGCTGAGAGCCTAAACTTCCTCCCGTACGCGCGTCGTCGAGCAGACGAGGCTGCACTAGTGCGACTTGCAGAAACCACGCCAAATACCCTTGTAAGGGTATTTGGTACGACACCGTGATGGCGAGCGACATGGTCGAAGAAGAGAATGACGACGTCCTTGGCGTTGTGCGATGTGGTGCAAGCCCGTTTAGTCAAGCGGCAAATAATGACATAGATGCAACCATGTCCGCGGTCGGTCTTGGGGAGACAGCAGACGAAGTCCATTGAGATGGACTGCCACCGGTGGGTGGGGATCGACAATGATTGTAGCTTGTCGGGCTTGGCGCGGTTGGAGGGGTTAACGACTTGACACGTGGAGCATAAGCGGATGTATGCTTTGACGTCGGCGAGTAGGGAAGGCCAGTGAAAGTAGCGGGAGATGGTGTCAAATGTTTTCTGGAACCCAAGATGACCGACAGTCTTGGCATCGTGGTGTTCGGCCAAGAGTTGGGTATATGCGTCAGAGATGCAAAGTCGGCGAGTGCCTTTGGTATCGATGGAAAGGAGATTGTCGTGGAGGGAGTAGTCAGGGACAGGGTTGAGGTCACGAAGCGTGTTGTAGATGGTGGTGAAGTCTGGGCAAGAGAGATAGCCTTGGGTGTAGCGATGGTGAAGAGACGGTAGGAGTTGGATATGTGTCATTGTGGCATAAACTTTGTCAGGGGGTTTGTGATCGGGGCGCGGGGAGAGGGCATCGGCAACACGGTTGCTTTTGCCGGGTGTATGGCAGATGGTGAAGGTGAACTGTGCGAGAAAGTCTAACCAGCGAGCTTGTTGCGGGGTAATGTCTTTCTTTGTTAGGATAGAAGAGACGATGGTGTTATCCGTGCGGACTGTGAAGTATCGTCCGTTTAGGTACGGGCGCCAGACTTTGATGGGGTGGATCACGGAGAGGAGCTCCTTCTCATTGGAGGGGTAATTCATTTCTGCGGGAAGGAGTTTCTTGCTGGCGATGGCAATGGGGTATTCGCCCGGTGGAGCCTCGGGGTGGGTAGGGGATTCCCTGATGGAGGGAGTTTCAGTGGTGTCACGAGGGAAATGTTGGGACAGGACGACTCCAATGGCGAAGTCGGAGGCATCGGTGGTGACGTAGAGTGGGGTCGGGTGATCTTGAGGACGAGGGCGGTGGTGATGAGTTGTTTGATGGCATCGAAGGCATTTTGGCGGCGGTCGTTCCAAGTGAAGGGTTCGTCCTTGCAGGTGAGTTCGTGGAGAGGGTACGAGATGTCGGAGAAGTTGCGGATAAAGGGGCGGTAGTAGTTGGCAAGGCCGAGAAATGATCGAAGTTGGAGTAGGGTCTTGGGAGGTGGATACTCGACGAGGGCGGTGACCTTCGAGGGGTCCATGCGGATACCTTCAGCGGAGACGATGTGGCCAAGGTATTCAGCGCTTGAAGCGGCAAAGGTGCATTTGCTGAGCTTGGCGTAGAACTTTTGCTCTCTGAGGATAGAGGGGACTTGGCGGAGATGCTGAAGGTTGGACTCAAAGGTGGGGCTATAGACGAGGATATCATCAAGGTGAACGACGACACAGACTTCGAGGAGGTCCTGGAAAATGTGATTCATTGTAGATTAGAATGTGGCGGGGGCGTTCGTGATTCCGAAGGGCATCACGAGGAATTCGTAGTGCCCGAATCGGGAACGGAAGGCGGTCTTGTGGGTATCCTACTTGCGGATGCGGATCTGGTGGAAGCCACTGTGAACGTCGATCTTGGTAAAATGCTTGGCTCCACGGGGTCGATCGAGAAGCTCGAAGATCCGAGATAGGGGGTACTTGTTCTTGATCGTGATCCGGTTCAAGGCGCGGTAGTCCATGCACATCCGAAGTTCCGATGTTCCGCCTTTCTTTACGAAAAGGCAGCTTGTGCTGAAGGGGGATGAACTCGGCTTAATGAATCATTTCTCAAGAAGTTCATGGAGTTGCCGCTACATTTCTTCGGCTTCCGGAACAGAGAGTTGGTACAGAGGGCGGCAAGGAGAGTGACCGGGTTCCAAATCGATGGTGTGGGATACGCCACAATCCAATGGTAATCCTGCAGGCAAGGACTCGGGGAAGACGTCCTTGAACTCGTCGAGGATGGAGGTGAGGGCGGGGTTGAAGGGGTGGGCTTGGTCGGGTTTGTTCGTTGGGAGCAAGTCCTCGGGACGCTTGTGATCAAGGACAAAACAAGGGTTCGTATGAGCCATGTGAAGGAATTGGTGCGGGGTGACGGAGCTTGGGGAGGTGAGACAGGGGAGATAGGGAATGTCGATGGGTGTGTCAGGGGGGTTGGTAAGGCAGAGGAAGTTGGGGTGGAACGCGTATGGCATGTAGCGGTCCAGCCACGATGTTCCCAAAACGATATTGCACATTAAGTGCATGACATCGAATGAGACCGGACTGCGGAGGGTTCCGACATTCATGGTGGTCTCGGGAACTGTGCGGTCTACTACGACGGCAGTGTCTCGGTCCCCTAAACGAATTGTAATCGGGGAGTCATATCCGGTAGAGGTAAGACCAGCTTTCCGGACACACGCGTCGATGATGAAGTTTCCGGTGGCTCCATTGTCGAGGAGGGCTCGAAACTTAGTCATAGACGCACCAAGGGTGGCGGCGATGAATTTGAGGTGAAAGTGTGACGAGTTGGCAGTGGAGATAATGGTGTTGAGGCGGCGTTGTTCATTGCCTAATCAGGCAAGCCGATCGTGTTGGGCTTGTTTCTCAACAACATCAGAGAAGGTGACAGAGGATGGATTGGGAAGGAGGGTTAAGGAACAAGTGGCAGTGAGGGGGGTGCCAGGCGATGAGGGTTGTGACGCCTAGGGGTCGTCCGATGGGGGGTGCGACAACGGAGAGGGGGGAGGCAGACGTATTGTCGATGCCAAATGGGCCACCGGTGGAATGGAGATCGTCACTGATGAGGTGGCCGCCAGACTAGTCGTCGGTGCCGGGGCGGAGACCTGGGGACAGTGTTCAGGTCGAGGAGGGGCCCGCTCGTGCCGAGGCGGGTGATGCGGAGGTTACGGGCCGGGGAGCCGCACACTGGCGTGTGAAATGTCTAGCATTTGGGGAGTCTGTTTGCAGGTGGCCTAATTGACGGCACCAGAAACATCCACCCTTTGCCTGAAGGTGGGCTCTTTCCTCGGGTGTGAGTTTCTTGAGGCGGCTCGGGAAGGTGGTCGGGAGAGGGCGGTTGGAGCGATCTCTCTTTTCCATTCGCATGAGGTGAATGGCAGAGAGTTCGTTGGGGGAGAGCGATGTGGTGTCTAGTTGATCGGAGAGGGTGTCAGGGTCGAGGGCGGTGAACTCATCCGAGGAGGTGGTGGAGGTGGTGTCCTCGGAGGCGATGTAGTGGAAGAAGCGAGGGTGGGAAGGGGTCGATGTAAGTGCAGTCTTGTAGGGGGAGAGGATGCTGTCAAGTTGGAGGGCACGAGTGAGGAGGTCGGAGAGGGTCATGGGGGGCTCGTGGACAAGGGTGACCGCTAGGTCTTTGCGGCATACGCGCTTAACACGAGAGATGAAGGTGAAGTCGCTGACGACGTCAATGGGGATATGTTGACGAAGCGAGCGGACGTATTGCACAAAACGGTCGGTTGGGCCGTTTTGTTGGAGCCGACAGAATTGGTCGATGTAGTCGTCGACCGTTTTCTGTGGGCGGAACGTGGAGGTGATGAGGGTGGCCCACTCAAGGATGGTGTGAGGTCGGAGACTGGCGTGATGGCGTTTGGTCATTTTGGTGTACCACCAGCGAGCAGCGTTGTCTAGGAGTCGACCGCCGGCAATGGGGAGCTAGTGGATGACCGGAATGCTGTGGAGGGAGAAGGCTTGTTGAAGTTTGGTGAGAAAGAGGAAGACATCCTCATGGGGTTGTCATGAGAAGGTGGGAATCTCGTTAGCGCGGAATGATGGGGAGATTTTGCCTTCTTTGGGGCTAGTGGTGGCAAGGGCGTTGAAATCAAGGGTTGGAGAGGAAGAGTCGACCAGGGTGAAATCATTGGCTGGGTTGGTGGGGATGAGAGCATTTAGGGGAAGTAGAGGAAGAGCGGGATACATAGCTTGTGGAATGGTCAGGGTATAGTTGGGGATGGTGGAGGTGATAACGAAAGAAGTCAAGAGGGGTTTTGATTGGGGGAGGATGGTTGACGACTGTGTGACAGCGGAGGTTTTCGGCTGGGTGACTATGGTGTGTGGAGGATGTGCTAGCGGAGGGGGCGGTGGATGTGGGCACGGTCGTAGAGGGGGGTGCCGTGGTCGTGACCACTGTGATTGTCAGGGTTTGATGCTCGATAGAGGCCACACGGTCGGATAGGCCAGAGGTATTGGTTTCGATTTTGGTGATGGACGCGCGGATGTCCGCTTGGAAAGAGGACATCATGCGAATGAGGGTGGCGATATCGGTGGCAATGGCGGGCTCGGATCTTTGTTCGCCCGTAAGTTCGCAGGCGAGGCTGTCAACAGACTGGGTGTTGATGGCGGTCATATCGATGCTGGAGGATTGGGCCATGTTGGGGGAAGATGGAGTGGATGAGGTGGCTGAGGCGACGGCTGCGGATGAGGTGGAGGTAGGTGCGGCGGCAGCGGCGGCTGCGCGCTAAGAGTTCTTGCTTTCGCGTGGCATGCGAAGATTTGGGAGTGGTGGGGGGTGGGGGTGGGGAGGGTATTTACGACATTAATTGATTTTGTGAGGCCACTGCCTCTATGAGCCCATTCGGCCCCTTTTTTATAGCCTGTCGGCCGCCCTAAGTGAAGGCTGGCTCGACGAGGCCCCTCAGGGCCTTATTTCAGCCTCTGTGCAACTATGGAAATTCAGGCAGTTGCGGAGCGCCAAATGGTTGAGAGAATCCAAACCCTGGGCCGCCTGTGTGAACGTATGGAAAGCAGGCCCTGGCTGGATACGAGTATTGGGCCAAACACATGCAAAGGCAGTTGGGTGCATGCAACCACCTCAGGACCCAGGCCTGATCTCGATCGTGCTGGGCCTCAGGCTACCAGGGCCTACTGGAAGCTTCCTGGGACTGGACGCAGGCAGGCCACTTCGATATAGCAAAGGGCCTGCCTCCGCATTCCTCATTCGGGTGCTGGCTGCATGCTGCGCAAGCGYTGCTGCGCTATTTGCTGGTTGGTGCCCACGCGCTCACGGGTGACCAGGGAAAGAGCAGGCAACCATAGCYGAGCTGCGTTGCTGTAAGTTGGGTGTGGCGCAGGGTGGTCCTTGGGTGCAAGTGGCATCTGTGTGTTGGGGAACGAGGTTGTGAGTGAGGCGAGAGACATACCTAGTGTTGGAAGCGTGCGACATTGGTCGTTGTATGCTCGTACTTCGGGAAAGCTGTTGACGTCATCATTCGGTATTGTAGTATAGGTTAGATAGGATCTGCCATATGTAGTCTGGGCGCCGAGTGCCAGATAGGATATCAACTCTGGTTCTTCGTTGATGATGATGGGACTATTTCAGCATTGTCAATTATAAACTCTTGGTGTGTTCTTATTTGGTGAATCTCGTGATGCAATTCTGTTGTTGGTTCGAGGTCGCGACTATCTGGACTCATATGTATGATGCTGTTTGATTGCTGAAGTTCGATATTGCTCATCTTCCTTGCAATTTGGTATCGGAGCTATGGTACGATTGGGCTCATCTGGCGCCTGTCTTCTGCCTGGTATGGTACATACATGCGGCCTGCTTGGCAAGTTTGGCCGTAAGTTGTGTGTAGTGAGGAGGGCGGAGACGAGTGATAGGCAACCCAGGAGGTGAGGGGATCGCCAGGAAGGCTACGAGGTGTAATGTGGTCTGGACAGTGTGATGAAAACTATTTAATGTGCGATTGATGCTGAGGTGAAACGGCGAGATAATGCTGGTTGTGCCGATGCAGTGACTGGTCATTGCAATCGGCATCTGAGCATCTGGTGAGGGTATCTCTGTGGTTGGGGGCAACTATTTGAGGTACGTTGCTCTTAACCTTATCTACCCTCTTCGACACTTCTTACCGTGAGGTTGTGTGTTCCTTCTTGAGAGTCCTCTTATTGTGAGGTGTTGAGTGCGCTCAACCTTGAGAGTCAGCAATGTTCACGTGGAGCATCTGGGAGAAGATGGGTGGAGCTTTCTGAAGGGCCCTGGACGAAGCACTGGGTCACAATTACCATGCCAAGCCACCGGGAGTAGAGCACGCATGCTTTGCTGCTTGTCCTTTGTTTGGCTTGCTGCGCTGTTAGATGGGTACTGAAGGGCGGGCCAACCCTTAAGGGAGACGAGACCGGTGTCGGGACCGGTGGGTCCCGAGATAAGTCCTGACCTCTGAGAGGCGGTATACAGCAGAATTGTGCACGGCAGAGGAAACTGGAGGCAAGAAGGGTAGAAAGACCAAAGGCATTAGTACTGGCACTTAGAGATTTAGAGGTTGCCCTGGGTTGCCGGAACCACCGGACCAAGGAGAGACTAGCGGAACGGCGAGCGGCGAGAGATCGTAAGAAATTAGCAAAGGCGGTCGTTCCCCCGAAAAGGAGAAGGACCGTCAGGGAAAGTGGTGTCATAGGTTGCACGACGCAGGGAGAAAAGAATTGAGAAGAAATAATAAGGTGCCGACGCGCAAGGATGTGACCTGGACCAAGAGGGCCACCGGGATGCGACGTCAAGGAGGCCAAGGGGCCATGGGCCAAGTAAAGAGCCACAACCGGAGAGATTGGCCTACGGAATGTGAGAAAGACAAAGGGAATGAGGCCACCATAGGGGGGGGAAATGTCAAAGGAACCCGGGACCATCGGCGGGACAAAGTGTCGGGGACCACCGGCGGGACAAAGTGTCAGGAACCACCATGAGAAAGATGGAGTATCGGGGACCACCGGCGGGATAAGTACCGGCGGGACAAGTACCGGCGGGACAAGTACCGGCGGGACCAGTACCGGCGGGACAAGTACCGGCGGGACCACCGACGGAACTAGTACCACCGGTGGGACAAGTACCGGCGGGACCACCGGCGGGATGAGTACCGGCGGGACCACTAGCGGGACTAGCGCCGGGGACTAGCACGGACAGGTGGCGGGGACTTGTGAAGTCCCAATGAAAAATTGTGGCGCAACGGAGGTGCGAATAATTAAAGCAAGCCGCACCGTCAAGATCAAAGATCTTGACGGCCAAGAATACTAGCGCCACTAGCATAAGCGCTAACGGGAGCAAGCGGGAAGGCCAAAAGAAAAAGAAAAAACAAAGAAAACATGTGGGGGAGGCATGGGAGCAATCCGAAAAATCTCGGATTGGCCTCCCGCAAGAAAATGGAGTCAAAAAGGACTCCATGAGAAAAATAGGCCTCCGGGAGAAAATCGGAGTATGAGGGTCTACCGTTTGGAAGAGATAGAGGCAAGCGGAGGCTCACATGGGCATGAGGAGGCCCTTACTGCAGTCCGAGATATAACGGACTGCACCAAGGTCATAGGAAGGGCCAAAACTAAGGAGGAAGGGCCTAGAAAAGGACCTTAACGGCTAGTTGACACTTGGCATGCAAAAGGAAAAAGAAAAAGAAAAAGAAAATGGGAGGTGAGAGGGAATGAGTGAGCTGGCCGTTAGTAGGGACTGGCAAGTCCCTACTGTCCAAGAAAAAGGAGGGAAAAGAAAAGAAAAGAAAAGAAAAGAAAAAAGAAAAGGGCCTTAACGACTAGTTGACATTTGGCATGCAAAAAAAAAAAAAAAAAAAAA